ACTGCCGCCGCCGCCGCCACCCGCCCGCCCCGGGGGCCGCCGGGAAGTGCCGCTCTAGCCGCACCGCCCAAAGGATTCACCGGGGCTCCGCCCGGCGCGATGACGTCAGGGCGGCGCGCCCCGGGGGTCGCTGGGAAATGAAGTCCAATGCCGACAGGCAGTGACTGACAACTGCCGAGGTAGTGGGCGGGGTGGAAAGGGAATGCTGGGAAATTAAGTCTATAACCGGAAGTGATAACTGCTTACAGCCGCTTTGCAGAGCAGCCTGCCCCTCCCAGGCGCGGCACATGAAATGTCCCAGGAAAAGCTGAGAAAGGTTCCAAATAAGGCTGAGAATGAAGTCTTTATCACGAAGACCACAAAAGGTAAGCGGAGAGGAGGAAAAAAAGAGATGGGTTTGCCCCGGGGAGAGCTGGGAAATGGAGTCTGCAGCCTGGAGGTTATGACAGGCGATTACGTAAGGGGGGGGGGAAATGTCAGCCCCGGGGATTTCTGGGAAATGTAGTCTATAACTCGAGGCGGCTGGCTGTCACTGTCAGGTTGCTTTTGCCCTGGGGAGCCTTGCATGTTTGCAACCCCCCAAATGGAAATCCTCCGATTGACGCTGAGCCATGGCGTCCGCGCGGGGCATGCTGGGAAATGTAGTGCGCGGTATAAAAGCGGGAAAGCCGCGCAGGCCTTGGGGCATTGCGATGGCCAGAGTTATAATTTCTTTTATAAACTATTATAGAACTTGTTTATTTTCATATATTCTCTTTAACTAGCAATAATCTCCGGGGGCAAAGATTTTTGTCTTCTGTTTATTGCGATGGGAAAATCTGTTAGGGGTACTGAAGAGCAGTGATGTCACCCTAGAGACTAAGGTGCACCTGATACAGGCCGTGGTCTTTGCAATCAATCACTTGCTATGCGTTAGAGAACTGGACAATGAGTAGGGAGGATAGAAGGAGAATTGATGCCTTTGAGCTGTGGTGTTGGAGAAGAGTATTGAATATATCGTGGACTGTTAAGAATACAAACAGGTTCATCCTGGAGATGGTTAAACAAGGCTGCTCCTTGGAGGCAAGGATTCTGAGGCTCCGTCTTACATACTTTGGACATGTTGCAACGAGGGACCAGTCCTTGGAGAGGGATGTGTTGCTTGGGAGGGTGGAGAAACAGCGCTGGAGGGGAAGACCCTCTATGAGGTGGATTGATTCAGTGCTGGGGTAATGGGGGTGGGTGTGTCAGAGACAGTGAGGTTGGCACAGGACAGAGCAGGGTTTAGGGCTGTTGTACATAGGGTCAGTATGAGTCGCAGGTGACTCAACGGCACATAACAACAAGAATAGCATACTACTGGTGGATTGAAACCCTGAATCTTTAGGATTGCAGCTCAGCTTCTTGCCACTAGGCCACCAGAGCTCCTTTTATTCTCGATATCTAGAAATAAACACTGTCCCCAGAAATGCAGTTAGCCAAGGCATTGGGCTGGTAACCATGAGGTGGGCTGTTGGAATCCACAAGCAGCTAAAAGATGAAACCATTTTCTTCCATAAAGATCTGCAGCCTTGGAAACATTATGGGCAGTTGGTTCAAGTCTGCCCTGTATGAGGGGACTCTCAATGAGATGGGTTGACAGAGTGGTTGCAATAATAAGCTCAGAGTTAACAATGATTGTGAGATACTGTAAGACTGGGTAGTGTCTTCGTCTGTTGTGCACTGAATACTATGAATCAGGATCAACTCAATGTCACCCAACAACAACGTGGTTTTCATGAAATAGGATTAGAGGCAGTTATGTAGACCAGGCAGGATGCAATGTACAGGTTTAAGTTGAGTCTTGAGTCAGCCTAAGGAAAACCCTTCCCGTGAAGCTAGCTATAGCCCTGAATTAGAACTTCTTACTTCCTAGGCTGGGAGGGAATGGACTTCTTTGTGTGTGTAAGTTAGCACTTGTGGTGGCAGCATTTGATAACTAAGACAGTGGTGACGGATGTAAAGTGTCTGGTAGGAAGCAAATGTTGGCTGTGTACCACACCTTTCCATTCCACCTGGTGACATCCTCTCCTGGTCCTTTCATTGTCCCCGAGTGAACGTTGTTAACATCTCAGGTCCGCTGATTTCTCTCAGCACTGTTGGTGAGGTACAGATACTCAACCCTGGACACGCAAGTCCTCCCCACGGCTTCCCGAGAGGAAAAGAATCTCAGGAAACAAGATGAGCGGAAACCCTCTGATCTGCAACTGTTGACGTCTTCTCATGGAGCAAAGAATAAAATTAGAGACTGTTATCCAAAGGACTAATGCACCATGTTGAACCCAGATCAGAATGAGATGGAGTCTTGCTAACTACCGCCGAGCACTTTGAAAGTTGTGGTGGTTGTTGTTACCAGGTGCTAACGAGTCCAGGACAACTCACTGAAACTCCAGGAGCAACAGCCGGATTCTTTGCTCCACCGTGTGCCCTCACAATCTCCAAACGCAAGCCCGTTGTCACAATCACTGTGTTAATTCATCTTGTAGAGGATCCTTCCGCTCTTTCATTCGCGCTGGTTTTTCCAAGCGTGTTGTCTTTTTCCAAGGACTGGCCCCTTCTGACCACGTGCTCAAAGTGCAAGAGACGAAGTTTCACTCTCTTTGCCTCTAAGGAGTACCCTTCCTCCAAGACAGACTGGTATCTTCTTTTGACAGTTCATAGAATATTCGATACTCTCCTTCAACACCACGCACAGTTCAAGAGCATCAATTCTTGTTTGGTCTCCCTTATTCATTATCCAATGAATAAGGGATCTGAAAGGGGTCACAGTAAAAGGTCCCTGAGAATGGGATGAAAAACATGCAGGAAAACTCAAAATCATTAACAGGACAGGATTATTGGTCAGATAGATTTAGAGGATCCCTGAGATTACCAATTCCCACAATTGTCTGGTTTTCTGCCCTTGTGAGACAAGAGAGAACGTTTTCTTCTTTAAAAAACAAAAAAAAAACCATCCAAAATCTTTTAAGCCTTAAGGCTACACTTTGAACTCTGCATGTCTAGTATTTCTCTCTCTCTCTCTCTCTCTCTCACACACACACACACACACACACACACACACACACCCCATGACTCAACTTTCAGCAAACAGCTAAGGTGAGTAATTACACCACAGAGGATACAATCCTCAGAACAGGGAACAACACAAGATTTCAAGGACAACATTTGCCCCAGGACAAAGCTCACAAAACAGTCAGGATAAGAATGCAGGACAAATACACGGCAGCAACCCAGGGCAGAAGTGAAGAGAGAGCTGTTACTTCCTGGGGATGCAATGCAGTCTATGCCACAAAACCAAGCGTATGTGAATTCCTGGCTAGCAAAAGCAGTCCATTCCATGAATTTGCACTGAAATTGCAATAAAAAAAGTTTGAAAAAAAAAATTAAGTCCAAGTGTAGCCTTAAGGCTTAAAAGATTTTGGATGTTTTTTGTTTTTTTTTTTTAAAAAAAAAAAAAAGAAGAAGAAGAAAATGTTTTCTCTTGCCTCAGCACGGCAGAAAACCAGATAGTTGTGCGCATTGTTAAGATGGTTCTGATAGACGGATGAACAGAGAGCATTCACAAAATTAACAAGTGGGGACAGAGGTAAAAATATAAGGAGCCAATTTTTATCCCAGTTGTTTCAGAACTGTCCTTGGTAAAGTTATTCACACAAGGAACCCTTTCATGTTTAAGGCGGAATCGCCCTGCCAAAGACATGCGGTGCCTGGACTGCTTGTGATGATAGAGACTCTAGAATACTCCCTGAGCCTGCACCTCCTGCCAACAGGATGAGGGGTTTTGTTGGTTTTCATTTGAGTGAAAAGAGAGGGGATTTTTTTGGGGGGGTGGTGGAGGAAGGGCTCATTAAAAAAAAAAAAGAAGAAGGAAAAGTAAAGTTGACATTGAGTGGATTGGAACTCACAGCCCTGAGTGTAGAAAAGCGTGCCCCACAGGGTGGTCAAAGGCTGAGTTTTTTGGAGACAGATTGCCATGCCTTTCTTTCTCGGCACATCCACGTGCACCGCCATGCTGACTTAGAAGCCAGTGTATTCACCTTTCTTTAGCATCCAGGGACTCCTTGAAAATGCTGATAGACCCTCCCTCCCCTCCAGTGATGGTCCATCTTCAGGTATGAGCACAGAGATAATGAACAAGGAAGAGACCTGTGATACGGTCTCAGGACCCTCCCTGATGACCACCGCAGAGGACCAGGTTTGCTAGATGTGTTAACCCACCCATTCCTCTTCCTAAACAGAAAGGGAAACAGGGTGTGTTTCCCTCTCCCCTTCACCATATAAGGAGTCCTGGGGGGGCCAAGTGACGTGCTCTGGTGGCGCATGGTGGAACCCATCAGGCTGCTAACTGGAAGGGGGGTCAGTTTGAATCCACCGACTTCTCAGGAGAAAGAAGCCCAGTTTTCCCATAAACACTGACAGCCTGAGAAGCCCAGTGGTGGGTGGCAAGCAGCTGGGATGGACCCCAGGCAATGCGTGGTGGTTTGGTTTTATCTTTATTTTATTTGGAATTTCCTCCCCTCTCCCAGGTGGTAGCCTAGGGCTGCCTAACCAAAATGGTCAGCAGTTCAAACCTACCAACTTCTCCATGGCAGAGAGAGGGGAGTTTCCCTTCAGTAGAGTTTTACAGCCTCAGAAACCGGGTGGACTTTGAGGAGTCAGAGGCAGCTTCAGGACACGGCCCTGGGCTGGGGTTTCTTGACCAGAGGCAAGGTGGTGGTAGTGGTGGTGGGGTGTTTTTAATTGCAGTTTGGGTAAAAGTTGACAGAGTAAATTCGTCTTTCATTCAGGAGATGCTGCCCCTTGTGTGTGGTTGTATTTGTCACCGACCCACCGTCCCACCATCAGCGAATTTCTCCTGTCTCTCTGGATTGCCTGTTTCCATGTCCTGTCTCTTGCCCCTTCTTAAACTTCACTTTGGGGCGGATGCTGCCTTTCTGGTCTCCTCTGCGTGCTTAAGGTGTGAAGTGTGTGCTTCATTCCCTCTCTGTGTCCTGTTCGTTCTGTGGGTGGGTCTGTGTGGCTGCGTTGTGGTCCCCAGGGATGGGTTCAGTTCCAGCTTTGAAGGAGATCTAACGCTCATCGTCTTGGGAATTCTACCCGTCCCCATCAGACCAGTAAGTCTGGTCCTTTTTTTACGGTTTTGAGTTTTGTTCTGCATTCCACCCCCCTTTTGCTGGCCTCCTTTTTAGCTCAGTTAGCAGCAGCTGGGCACCATCTAGCCTTTCTGATCTCAGGGGAACGGAGGCTGGCGATTCACGTGGCCACGCGGGCTGTGGACTCCTTCCTGGCCTGGCTCTTTGGCTTTCTTCCCTGCCCTATCCTCTGGATGCTGGACGGTGTCCAATTGCACCGTGGATGGCCACTCCCAGCCCCTACTCTCCACAACAGCATATTGTCCCTGTGAGGATGTCTATTGACCTCACTCTTCCAAAGGCTGTTGTCCCAAGTCTCTAAGCGATTCGTTCACATTTACTGAAGTTGTTAGTGACGTTTCTCTGCCCTTCCTCTGACACTGTGATTCCTTCTTGTCTGGTTGGCCAGCTGGCCTTGCTCGAGTCCCGATTGTTTTTTTGTTTGGTTTTTTTTTTACTTTATTACTTTTGTGTGAGTGTACCGTCAAATCAGATCTGACTGGTACAGGAGGAGATTGTCCCTCCTTCCCTGGCAAAGCATCTGGTGGATTCGAACCGTGCGCCTCTGGGATTGTAGTTGCAGCTCATTGCCACTAGGCCACCAGAGCTCCCCTCGAGTCCCGATTCTTGGTGGGCCCTTAAGGGCTGTCCTCCGTGTCCTTGAGGGTTGAGACGCTTTGGGAGTAGGGGCCCTGGCCTGACTGCTGAAGTACTCCTGGGTGGATTAGAACTGCCAGACTTTTGGCAGATGGTCCAGGACTTAACAAGACTCCACCACCCAGGGCCTCCCGGATGCCTGCCTCTGTGCTGTGTGATGTCAGGCCTGCAAAGACTCCAGGCCCGAGTGAGGCACCTGGCCTGCTCTGGCCCCGGTGACATGAATGACTGTCCTTGGAAAAGGTATGAAGCTACCGTTTTTTTTTCTTTTTTTCACATATGCTGTGTCCACATAAATCTCTCTCTCACACACACACACACACACACAATGTGAGAGCAGGAAACAAGCTGCCAAAAGGATGTTCACAGTATCTGCATAGAAATCCAGAATCTCTAGGGGAGCTCTGGTGGCCTACTGGCAAGGAGCTGCAACTACAATCCCAGAGGCACATGGTTCGAATCCACCAGATGCTCTGCCGGGAAAGGAGGGACAATCTCCTCCTGTACCAGTCAGATCTGATTTGACGGTACACTTACACAAAAATAATAAAATTTAAAAAAAAAAATCCGGAATCTCAGAGGGCCACGATGGTGGAGGTGGGGACCCTGCCACCTGCCTGTCTGTCCCCACCGGCTCCTTCCCTGATCCCTCCCTCAGTGCCGGTGGGTGGGAGCCGACCGCCGCTGAGCCTCCGCGGGCTGCCAGGCTGTAAACGACACGGGAGCAGACCTCCCCTTTCCTCCCACGGAGCCTCTGGTGAATCTGAACCTCCACAGAGGCCCTGGCTTAGCCGCGAAGCTACCCCCAGACTCAGGCCCTGCGGCTCCTCGGCCACCAGCTGAAGCCCACCGTCCCCGGTTCTGGACAATGGATGACCACGTCCACATGACGGTAACTAAGGTCACGGAGCTGCAGCACCCCCACCTCGGCCGACTGCACACATTGCTACGGTCCATCCTGGAAGCCACGACCCCAGCATTTCCCCAACCAGCGGGGTCAGCTGTGGTGCACACGTTGCCAGGGCACTTACAGACCCGGGCAGAGGAGGACTAAAGGCTTGGTGGTCTCAGAAGCCAGCAGAATCCCGGGCCAGGCAGCACTGGAAGGTGAGGGCCCGACACTGGGAGGTGCTGAGATACCCAACGGCGCAGCAGGAGACCCCGGACACGGGCAGCACAGGGCTGGGCACAACTTCCCGTGATGTCCACGGGTCACCCCCATGTGGTAGCCACTGCACAGCAAACACTAACAGCAGCCACTCTGAGCCGAAGCTCCTGTGAGTAAAACACCAGAGAACAGCGCCGGGGCCCGCAGGGGGAGCGTTTATTCTGAGCTACACGGGACAGCAGGGTGATCCCCGGATGCCCAGGTCAGGATGCTCCCAGGGTGCCCAGGGGGCCACCCTCCGACACCGCCTCACTTCCAGCGGCCTCCCAGGCGGCCCTTCCCGGCCCCCTTCCGGCTGTTGGAGAAGAAAGTGTTTCAGGAACAAAGGAGGACCCTGCCTATTTCTCGCAGGGGAGCCCCGGGTCCTCAGTGGGAAGGGTCCATCCCCCAGGGACCCTGAGCACATGGTAGGCAGATGCCTTCACCTGTCCTCTTCTCTGGGTCACAGAGGTGGGGGTGACGAGGTCGATGTTTAAGGACCTCATTGACATTTGTGTGGATGGGGTGCGCAGGGTGTGGAGGAATGTTTATGAGTTCAAGGAACAGGGAAGCAGGAGGTGTGCTGAAGGTGAGCAAATACAAGAGAAGGGCTGGGAAGTCGGGGTGAGAGAGACTGAGGACTGAATTACAGGGAGACATAGGAAGAAAGGAAAGAAGGGAGGAAGGAAGGGAGGGAGGAAGG